AGAAACAAATTCGGATGCTAAAATTTCCTTCGTTTTCATTTATAGTTATTATTCTATTTGATTTTTCGCTTCAAGACAGTGCATTTCTTTTTTGTATAGGAGAAGAGGTAGGACCCTATGGACCCCTTGCCTATCGTTGTTATTAGATAGATTCCCTTCATCTCGTCGCACGTGCGCGCTGATCGAATTATGCTTTTTATCGAGATGAGCGTTTAGCAAATCTATCGATATTTCCGATCGCGAGGTAATCGAGTTTAACTGGAGACTAATTTTCAGTAGTCGTCCGAGTCGAGAGAAAGCGAGAGAGAGAGAGAGGGGGGGGAGGCCCTCCCCTGATAGCGATAAAGCAACGCACACTTTAATTATCGTACTGTCAGATTCGCTGTGCGTCCTACACGGAAATTGTATTAAGCTATTTCATCGAGACGTCATAATACCGCATGATCGAGTTATATGTCTTTATGCCGTGCGCAATACTTGTTCGCGATAATTGAAAAACCACAGGGCGCGATATTAATCCGTCGAATTGACGTACCAATTCGGCCTACGCAAGGCTGAAAAAAAAAAAAAAAAAAAACGTGTCGGGAAAGTCCGCTGCGACTTTCATCTCTCGGAATCTATATGTCTCGCATTTGCGAATTAAATGCGTGGGCGGAGCAGGCCGCGATTTTTGCGAAACGTCAACCGCGCGTTTCTCGCAAATTGGAAAACAAGAAGCGAAATATAGAGCTCGTGTCGATACAACGCGCCGGCGATCTCGGGCGATTTAATCCGACACCGTTGTGACAAAAGATGGAGGAAGAAGACGAAAAAGGGAGGAGAAAGAGTTGCTCTCGTCACGACGAGATTCCGCAAATTATACTGTTTAAGGAACGAGGGCGCGACCGGACCTTGCGCAACGAATACAAATGGAGAGCCAGCCGGCAGCCGCGTCCCTTCGGCGCGCGTGACAAAATTCGTAAAGGAGCTCTCGAAGCCGAGCAGCCTCCCATCACCCTCTTCCTCTCGCCCGCGCCGTAGGGTATATACTCGCGGGGGATTTCACTGGCACACGGGAGAGAAAAAGAGAAGCGTTTTGGCGACAACGTGATAATATTTCTGAACTTGGGGAGGGACTCGTTCTCGCTGGTGAAGAAGAAAAAAAAAGAAAAAATTCGTCGGCCGGGTACCGAGGGAGAGAGAGAGAGCCGCTGGTCTACACCGAAACTGGTTTCGTAAGTGCCGCTTCGGCAATAAAAAGAGACGGCGAGGGAGAAAACGAGGGAGACAGAGAGAAAGAGGCACGTAACGCGACCGCATTCACGACGAGCGCATTTACATGTTACGTAAAATTTCGTTGGGACCCGCGATACACGACAAGCCGGACGGCGATCTCTCGCTATGCTCGCCTCCCGGCCCATTCGCATCTCAATGAAAGTCCAGATGACTTTTGCCACGGGAGATCGTAGGGAAATCTCTCTCTCTCTCTCTCTCTCTCTCTCTGTGTGTGTGTGTGTGTGTGTGTGTGTGTGTGTGTAGCTTTCATCTCGCGAGCTTTTGAATATATACGAATTTAGAACAAGGTAAATAAACAGATTTATTCAAAATTACTCAGCGAGTAACGTAAGACACGTGACAAAATCGACGACAATATTTATTTCAGTGAAAGTCGTGTAGAAAAGCCAGAGGGATATTCATTTGTTTGCAGAAGTTGGAAGAGTAGCAATAATTTCTAACCGGTCAAGTTATTGCCTGAGGAAGGATAAAATCATAAAAAAGCTCGAATAGTGTTTTAAAACAACATTTATTTGCAGCGATCTGTCAGGTGTGCTGGTTGTTATCATAAATACGCTCTTATTATCCATCGATCGTATGACATTTAATTTCTTTCCTTTATACGCCTGTTTCTGCAAATGTAGATTAACTGAAATCTCGTTCGACATCATTCTTCATCTTTTTCTAATTTTAAGACCTGGAACTGAGATTAAAATTAAACTACGTTGGTAGAAACGGACGTTAATGACTTCACAATCGTTCGTTTAAACTTCGAATTGCTTTCACTGCTTTAAAGATATTTTGTGCAATTCGCATTCGCGAACACACTACGTATTATCGAAACGTCTGTTTTTATATGGCAGAGACACGGATACTAGGTACGGCAATGTAAAACCGTCCGATTTATCATCATGCGTTCGATAGCTTGTTTTAATGTATCGCAGCGACGGAAACGTTGCAAATAGTGGCGAACTAAAAAAAAAAAAAAAAAAAAAGGCGGAGCTTTTACTCCAATTTTCAAGGATGATAGATCGTCCGGCCGTATTTCAAAATTGGAGCGGAACGAACGTGTGTAACGCTCTCTCGGCGCTCGTCCGCGCCGGTTTATCGCGAGCTCTCCTTCTTTTTTTTCTCCGCGCGACATTACCGTGCCGCGACGTTATTTCTGTCTTCGCGACTGACTCATCGACGTCTCGGAAAGAAATGACCCTTGGTCGCGATACCGTCGGCTTTGCATGCTTATCAGTCCGCTCGGCGCAAAGGCGACGCTATCGGAAAGAATGTTCCCGTACAGTCGCAGGCCAAGTCTCAAGTGTTCGTCGAAACGGAAAGCTTCATTTCGACGCGACCACCACCACCACCACCTTATTCCGGATATGTTCA